CTTCGTGGCGACGCGGGCCGCGCAAGGAAAGGTACGGTGTCCCCACCCCCGGTGCCCTCGTTACCTGCTGAGGGGCGGCGCGTGGGGCTGCGCCGCCGCCGGCAGCGCCCGTGGCGGCACCCACGCGGGGCGCGGAGGAAAGAGTCGAAAACTCACTCAGGGGGAGAGAAGTCACGTTTGGAGCGCGGCTGGGGAGGCGCGCTAACAAAAATCCACACCGGGGAGGCACTGGAAGGAGCCAGATCTTTAAGGCAGAACCAGAGCTACAGCGTCGGGCTCGCAGGGAGGCTTTGCCGTTCCCGGCAGCGCCCTGGAGCCCGCTCCTGGCCACGCTGCCTGCCCCGCCGCCCGTGGAGTGAGCGGGGCCGGGCCCCCGCCGCCGCCCGGGGCTCTCTGGCTGCCACCCGCCGAGCAGGAGAGAGGGGGAGAGCCGGAGGAGGAGGTGGAAAGCCTGCGGGGCTCCCACAAAATCTGTCCGTCCCGCAGCGGGCCAGCTATACCAGCTTAAAGGACCGTTTTTCTGTCAGAAGTATTAATCAAAAGGGCTGGGCTGCACTGGAGAATCGGGGTGATTATTTTTTCCAGCTTTAAAATATTTCCCTTTTAAAACGAATGGCTGGAATGAGATACAGCATCCGATACCACTCTAATGGAAAAAAAAGAAAAAAAACCCAAACAACCTTTAACTTTTTCTTGGAAGTACTCATATTGATTAACATACAGTGTGAAAATAGAAGCACATTAATCTTGAGGAAGCGTGGCAGAGTTAGTGGCAGTTTATGTTACGGTGAAATACGAAGCAACAGGTTAAAAAAAAAAGCATTAAATAAATATATACGTACACACAAGAGGCCTGTAATTCTACGTAAGTTTGTCAGAAATCCTATTAAATCATATGATCTTAACTCTTCTGGTTTATGGTCTTGCCAGAAATCCTCAGTGGAATTACAGCCATAATACAGTCTGCAGTTAGCTGTCTCTAGTTACAACACAGAATTAATATAGAAAAATCTGATTCATAATAAAATCTGGAATTGATGAGGGGGGTGTTGCTGCTCTGAACGCTGAATTATGCTGCTTGTGATCCCAATTCTTTCTGAGAATCCACTGTAACATTAACCATGCCTGACAGACTGAGCATACTATTCATACTTAATTTGATTTTGCTGTAAAGGATTTACCAGTTACGTTGAATTAATGTATTGACTGATAACTTTACTATTTAACATCTAATTGACCATGAGGAAAGAAATATATGAAGACATGAAGAAATAGTGATTCATTAAGCATCTGTCATGGCGATTTATAATGGGATGAAAAACATGGTAGGAGTATAAATCATTATGAAGAATATTAATCTGTGTCACTGCTGGGCAAGATCATTTTTGCATGCATTGTATCCACTGTGTGTACGCAGGTCAGTGTATGGGAGAAAACTTTTTGAAAACTTGGCTCCTTGATGTCCCTCCTCTGACACGGGAGGAAGGTTTGCTCTGCCTAGCTTGGTTGTTGAGACCCCACCTGTAGCTGAGGCTTCTGCCCACACAGCTGAGCTGCCGTCCAGCTTGACTTCAAACACAACTCTGGCAAAAACGCCTTCCTCTCTCTCTCTCTCTCTCCCGGCAAACTGATGTAATCACATTGCAAATCAAGGTCAAAAGAGGAGGCAAAATTAGTGTAAAAAGCAGGCTGAATCAAGGCTAAATTAGGCTCTATATCCTTTTGGGTTTGAGAAAAGGCATCAGCACTCTAGAGGAAACATTTCTTGACGCTCATGGCATTGATTTTAATGCACTTAAAAACATTTAACTTGGTAGTTCCTTTAAGCTCAGTAGAAGAGAAGATGTTCTCTATAGTGTCATGGACAGGTCTAGAAAGAAGAAGTACAGGAGAGATCTGTTTTCATAGAAGCATGATAGATCTAATTTAGAAGAAGGTCTGTCTCACAACAGGAAGTGGGAGCAATTGGGGGTTGCTGTCCTCTCTGCTAGAGTCCTTGAGGGAATCCCTGACGTTGTAAACCATCTGTGTGCAAAGATGTAACCAGCTGCTTATTTGGATTTTGCAGATCCAAGGTATGCCCTATGGGAACTGTTTACTTCTCAGTGACGGTCCTGTCAATAACAGCACTGGAATCCCTTTCTTTTATGTGACGCCGAAGGACAACACTGTGGCAGATCTCCTGAAGAATCCTGTGGCTTCTCTGACCCTGCCAGAGGCAGATGGAAATTTCTGCAGGTAAAAGAGTTTTATCTGCCTACTACCATCTTCAGTGAGAAAGTCCTCAGAACAAAATTCTGGGTCCCCACTTTCAGTGTCCTGATTTTATTTTGGTCTCTTACCATCAGCTATGTGCTTCTCCTTAGGTTACTTCTCCTTGCAATAAGTTGCCCCAGTAAAGTATGGTGAAGAAAAGCACAAGTGTCACTGAAGTACGTTGTAGCATCAACAGGTGGAGTGGCTTTTAGCTCGCACATCAACATACCTAAATTTTAATCTCTGCTTGGAGGTGTCTACATAAAAGCTAGATGTTCAAGATCCTATTACAGGCCATGATCTAGTCATTAAAGTCCACAGAGTTTTGAGGGCTATCCAAGTCATAGCAAGCTGTCACTCCAAGCTCTGCTGAATTGCTCTGGAGGCCCTGCTGATTGCCTTGACAGGGCTCTAGCTCTCCGGGGTCTATAAAGGGATCTCAGGCTTAGTTCACAAGTTACATGCTCGAGACTATGCCTCTCAGTCTAATTTCCACCTCTTCAGAGGGTACGATTGAATATGGTGTCATTGCAAATTTTTGACATCTTGTATATCATAAACAGTCAACCATCCCCCACACAAAGGAAGTCAGGTCTGAGATTTACTGATCTACAGCCATCCCTAGGTTCATCTCTCCAGAGACAGCAGTGAGTTTACTTCTTCCTAATCATATGTACAATGAATAACTCCAGATCACTGAAGCTTTATATGTGTAAAATGTATGTATGTAAACTTGAAGATGATTCAGTTTTCCCCTCCATGCTTGTCTCCTTGAAAAAGACATATCTCTGCCATATGTTTGTTTACAGTCAAACATGTGGCAAACTTGGCTGGGTCACCCTTGTGTGAAGTGTTATTTCTAAAGACCTCTTTATGTGATGAGGTACACGACACTGAAATTGTGTCAGACAGGATTCTGTTACCAAAGCAGATCTTAGCGGATATACCAATGAGAGAGAACTGGAAATTGCAGGCTGCTTCAGAAAGAAATGTCATTGAAAGTTTTAACTCCAACTCAAGGTCCTCTTTGGAGGAGGAGAGGTTTATCTTCAGAACTGGATCCCAGATTTTCCCAGCTAGGAATTGCCTTGCGTATCATCCCACCTCTCAAGCCCTCTAGCTGAGAACAACACTGGAAAAAGCAGTGAATGGCAAATATAAAGCACATTACTGTTACACCTGTCTGTATTTGTCTCCAGAATATAGTTTTCTTAAGAGTTAGATGGTGGCAAAAAGAAATCTTTCTTAGTCCTAAGCAGTATGATTGATTTTAGGCTGACATCCCATTCCCAAGGAATGGAAATCATGGCTTCCTCCTGCAACGTCATACACTTAATAGGAACCTTCCATTCCACATTTGTTAAGGTAATTCATCTTTCAGTGCTTGAGAAGGTCAACACAGTTGACCAGAATGAACCAGAGCAAACCAGAATAGTTCTATTTTGAATTAATAATTTAATAAAAAATGTATTGGCTCTTTCATAACAGACTAATAGAGCTTATTCCCACTTTCTTTCATTCAATCAAATAGGGAGCGGAATATCTAGACCAAGTTCTTAAAAATGTATGTTGTCCTATGTCCTAGCACCTATGCAGTGCCCTATTTTCAGAGGCTCAACACTCGAAGCAGCTTCCATTGATGATAACTGCTGGTGTTGCACGCTTCTGAAAACTACACACCCATTTAGGCACTTAAGTGTGGCCTTTCATCCCTGACTTTAAACAGCCACTCTTGAAAGCCTTTGCCTTTTATGCTTTAGCAATGTCACTGCCCGATTTACCTGTTTGGGAAGTGCTAATTCACCAACAAAAGAGAAATGCTGCATGATTTACAGAAATATGAAATTTATATATGTCACAACCCTCCAAGAATATTTATTCACCGTATTTTTATTAAGTAATTAACAATTAATAAATATTAATAATTTCCAAACCACTACCCATTTGTTCCATGTGCCAGAATGTGCTGCTGTTTGTCTTGCAGCCAGGACAACCTAAAATCTTCCACCCAGCTCTGTAGTCCCCTCTGCAGCCTGAGACCACGGTCTCTGGTGAGAAGAGCTCTCTGGGCCAAGAAGCTAAACCTGGATTTCTAAAACAGCTTAGGCCAAGCTAATCACCAGTTGCCACATACCTACTCTCCCTCCCTACTACCAGTCGCATGGTTCCCCATCACCACCTGACATCAGCTCTGGGCTTTGCCTGACCCTGAGCTGAAACATAAATCTGAAGAAAATTAACCTGACAATGAGAATAAGGTTTTCTGCCAGTCCTTCTTCCCTTCTTGCCATGGCTGCTGCTGCTCCTGGCCATGCTATCCTACCCCCTTCCTTCAGCTGACCATATGGTGGGCCTATTTTAGCTCAGTAACCCAGCAGAAACCTTTTCCTTTTTTTTTTTTTTTTTTTTTTCCCTGGATGAGATTTCTACTGGGTTAGTAACTTGAATCAGCTTCCCGAGAGCCAGAGGAGTGCAAAGGAGAGGGGAAAGAAGGTGGAGGAAAATAGGACATCCTCATTTTAGCATGTAACTGTACCCTAAATATTGAGTGTACTACTGAATTGAGTACACAGATTCAGAGTCTGATCAGCGCTCCTTGCATTATTTATTTTGTTCTTACACTCAGTTTGTTTTTTCATTATTTCTGGAGTTCTCATCTGGAACAGATGTTGGCTGGCATTAATGCAAAGAACGAGCAATACGGAGAATGAAGAACTGGGACATTTGTTGAGCTGCAGTTTGTGTTTTTGATGATAGTTAGGAAAATGTGAGCAAGCTTTGGGGCTGTCTCACAGCCAGGAAGCACGTGGGCACTGGGGCTTTAACTTTCTTCTTTCCCTTCCCCCTGTAACCAGGGTCAGAAATGAATTTACATTTTAAACCAGCAACCTGTGAATTATTTTTACATTTTAAACTAGCAGCCCTTCACACCATCCTACCATTACTCCCCAGAAGGGGCTTCTGTGGGCACTGTGACAGTGAAGAAAACAAGCCTGTCCAGGCCCTGCTGCCAGTGCCTGGGGTGGCCTATCCCCAGCACTGAATCCACTGCTGGTAACACAACCAGCTGGCCACTTCTGCCACAGGCAGCCCAAGGATCCCTTCTGGGCTAAGATAGCCAGGCTGTGCCATGCAAACAGCCCGTAGCATCCTTAGTGTTGAACTTTATGTGGCAGCTCAGGTTTTTTATAGCAGGTTTCTTCCTCTTCTTTACTCACACTGTATGAGAGACAAGACGTTTTACTCTGAGAGACCACAGGTCCTGCTAGTATTAAAACCATATCTGTGAAGTTTTTTTTGCAAAAGAAAGTGTCATTAATAGGTGGTTTTAATACCAGAAGTTCTCTTCGTCAAGAGCATCATTAATTGTTTTGGCTTCAAAATAATTATACGAAATAGCTAAATGAGTAATGCTCTGCATGACAAAGTTCATGTCCTTGTATGCTAGCAATGTATTTGTAGCTTATTTTCATATGGAATTTTATTAGATTTTCATTATTAACCTACTCTTGAGTTGCAAGAATTAAAATAAATGTGAAAGCTGGTCGATGCCTGTAGCCAACACTCCTTGGAGTATTTGGCACTCTCCTGAAAAATGCTTCTGACCTATTGCACATAAAAGAAATCTCTGGCCTTTACAAAGAAAACAGCTGACATTTCAATAGTCTTCTTGTATCTAATGAATTTCAAGTGACTGGTGTACATGTACATCAGTTTGATACTAAATTTATTTAGTAGTAAATTTCATTTGTTTTGTTTCAGAACAGACTCAAGTTCCAAACCTTGACAATAAATATTTTCACTTTCAGGGAAGTAAGGAATACAGAGTGGCCTTTTTGGTGCTCCAACCTTAATATTTAATCAGCTAGTGAGAAAATCTGAAAAGCCTAAACTAATAAGAGAAATAACATTTAATAATGGAAGAAAGAGAGATGCAACACATCTGAATAGGCACTAATTGCAAGACATTATAATGGATTCCTCATCTCTGACCCAAAGATTGCCATTTCCCAGGGGGAGACAGGCTGTCTTCTCTGAGAAGGCTCTCTGATGGCCAGGCTACAGAAAGCATTCATTAGCAACTATACTGCATCCTATCGGAAGGCTGATAAATGGATAATAGAGGCAAGAAAAATTAAACCGTTCGGGGCTATAAATAGACTAAGCTGGCATGTCTGTGCCACAGACAAGCTGAAAAGATTGAATCCCATTCTTACAGCTTTCAGAGGGAGCAAGACCAAGACCGACATTAAAGAATAGAGCAGCTATTGTTCTAAACGCATTTTCCCAACACACAGGCTGCTCAGAGGATCTCCCTTTCCAAGTAAGCTCCTAGACCTGCCTCATTACAGCTGCAGTCTGGAAAACAGGCAATTAATTTTAAAAGTGTGTCACCTCCTTGACATCAGGTTCAGCACATTCGTAGGGACCAACTACAGCTTTCTTAGAGAAGGAGCAGTTACAAGGCTGTCATGAACGGGTTTTCACACAAAGGAAAAATAAAGAAAAGCAGTGAGCTTTGGGGTCGGTCCATGTATTTGTTTTCCCTTGCTATTAGTTTGGAGGATGGTGTTTCAAATCCACACTGTAGACTGTGAATAATTTTGAGGAATGCAGGTTCCTTTCCTGGCTTATGACCTACATCAGGGGTGGCTCCATCAGAGCCATTTTACCCACCATGTTCATCTACTGCTCGAGGTAGCGGATCGACACAACCAGGCAGACACCTTCAGTGGATATAAGCTAGCTCCATAGGTTTCCTAAACTCTGCATTGAAAAGGCTGATGGGAAGCACTGAGCACCTCCAGCACTCCTGGATACCAGCGGGCCATGGGAATAGGAGAGTAATTCGGTGGATTAGGGTCCCTGCTGTGTGGTTGATTGGCAGCGTGCATAAACTGCCAACTTCATTGCTGGGCAATCCTGAGAGAAGGTAAGCCTGCCATGGGGTGGCAGACACAAGTTTGAGATGTCAGTTGGCC